CCTACTCCATAATATCGGGCTCCGAGTGTATGTGGTCCAGGTTGGACAAGCTGTTAAAACAATGCATGGATGGATATCCATTCTTCCATTTCCCTCAAAATACATTTTGAGTTCAAATATTAATTTGTAAACTCTTTCAGGGTGTTAAATCAACCAAATTCCAAAACACGATAAGAGCATGACCTCTGTGTCTTCAGTGCTCTGAATGCCACTAGAATACACTACTCAGCCACATTTAAAACACTGACACCTTCTTGAAGTGCTTATGATTAATTCTAATGGAAGGTCTTTTGGTAATACTGTGCACATGGATGTTACTATATAACAAACTGAATGTTGTTGGAAATCAACACATAACTCCCAGACCAGGCAAAATGTTAGCGATGATTTCTCCAGCAGGACAGTGTGTCCAACTACACTCACAAACAGTTCAAGGAGCACAAGGACGCACACAAGCCCTTTAAAAGCCCTCCAAACTCCTTGGATTCAAATCCAATTATCTATCCATGGGATGTACCAGAACAAGCTAGTTACAGGGAGGGACCTACAGAACCCAGAGGATCGGCTCCAAACATCAAGATGCCAAACAATACCTCAGTGACCCAATTTCCATGTCCCAAAAGGTCAGAACAGGTGACCAACACAACATGAGGTGGTTTTAATATTGTGTATGATTACTGTATATCCTCTGTGTCACTGTTTATAACCTGTTGTGTGTACAGCTTAGAAATACAAATTCATACAAATGAAAGTAATTCGTAGCTGGTAATTAGTGCCTTTGACCAGTGGCCATGCCATCAGCATGTTACTGACAGAGTAACTTAAGTGATTCCTGGTAAAAGAGATATTTTGCTGTTTGGAGAAGACCGCTTGTATAATGATCGCACTGAATTACCATTATTTGATGGTGGTAATTAGTCTTGGTTTTCGCATTTAGGAGTGCGTGTGCACAGAGGGTATGTGGGAGTGTAAAAGCCACTTTTCCAGCTTAGCCATGTACGAGAGGGCAAAATGGAATCATAAGTGAGGCACTCTAAGCATTGGAGATAAAACATGTGGACCCCTCCCTCCCCCAGAGTAACTGTAGATTCAAATGGGATACAGAAAGCAAGTTGAGATTATGATAATTCAGTAAACACACAAGATGGACCTCTCTCACTGCTTTGTGAACTGTTGCACTTTGTGTGAATTGAGTAGCAGTGCAGATTTTTTATTTAATTTTTTTGCCCTGATCGAGTGTATTTAGCTTACATTAGCGGCAAAACTACATTAGGATTCAGATGGTAAATTTAGCCTGCACTAACACAAGAAGTAGATGTCGGTAGTCTAGATGTCAGTAAGTCTGCTGAGCTCTGAATATGTATTCAGTTACCAGCCAGTGGAGCCACCAGAAATGGTTGAATTGACCACCCTGAAGCACAGGGGTTGCTGGACACCCCCGACGGTGAAGCTATACTTTGATAGAGGCTCCTGAAAATGTTGTGACGGAGCACAGGAAGTTCCTGCTGCCTTGGGAGGAAATATCAAATAAAACAGAATTTTTTTTTCTACTTTGGTGTGATCTTGCCGTTCAAAAAAATTCATGGGAATTTTAAAACTGGCGCAAAGATCAGAACCGAATACGGCATTTATGCACTTTCATTCCCCTGTTTTAGAGAATCAAACCTGTGGAAGAAAAAGAAGGCAAAGGAAAAAGATTTGGTTAAAACTTTTCTTGAATTTCATAAAGAATTCGGAAAAGTTCTCTAAGATGATTATATTTCATTGATAGGAGACACCTGAAAGCTGTTTGCGCACCCATGCATAAGCTGTGTTGATGCTCAATCTTTTGCTCTTACCGAGTTGTGATTTTGAAGACCTTTAACAAATAAAGAATATGCCTTTTTTAAGGGAACTTCCGACCATAAAACCATGAAGTGTATGATGGGGGAATCAGAGCTCAGACTCTTAATATGTTGCAGGGAATGATAGTTTAATGTGGCATACATTTCAGCAAGGACCGTATCCATGAGTTGCAGGGCTTGTGTGTTTGTACCCTAACATCTCTGGATCTAATTGTGGGGTTGATCCATTGCTGTGTGAGAATAGCACGTCTGTCAAAAGCTTAGGCAGATTTGGGCAGACCTCCAAAAGCTTGAGAAGATACGGCGACACAGAGAGGGGTGCGGTGACTTGAATCAACCACTTAAATATTCAGCTCCAGCGTCTCCCTGTTCCTCTTAGAGATCTAAGGCATCTGCCTTATAGACACTTTGTGGTTGAGTCAATGAAGCTAGAGCTATAAAGGAGGATGGAAGGAAAAGATATGTAGAAACTGAGGAAAATGATCTGGGGAGGAGATTTAGACAAGAAGCTAAGGAGCAAATGGTCCTACATGTGTGGCTTCCAGTTTTAATGTGTCTTTTCTTTTCTTTCTTTCTGTTGAGTGACAAGGCCGTCATAGCTGCAAAATCAATGACATGATGCAGAAAACGAGGACTGAAAGTTCAAACTCAAAGTTTGAATTACACCCCACCTGCTAAATTTACCCCTTCCACCAATTTACACACATGCATATACAAAAGTGCAGGATGTACATGAACAAAAAATGTTGGGATATTTTGCTGTGTGCAGCGGCAGACTGTGTTTAGAGGCAGGTTCTGCTCAGAGGAAATGTTTGGGGTCTGCCTTGTGTCAGCTGCAGCCATTGGTGTGGATTACCTGTGGGCGTCATGATGATGAACGGGCTTCTGGAGCTCGGTGAAGTGTTTATGACCAAAAGGCGTTGTTGCATGTAACTAATCAGGCCTGACGCTGGTAGGTGAGCAATGCTTCTTTGGAAGTACCCTTTGAAAGGCAATGCAACGATGCTTAATGATGTGTAGGATGCAAACCGTCAGCGGATGTTGCAGTGACATCACACAGCTGCTGGACTCAGAGGTATTTGGAATGACCAAGATTGGAGACTTGGCGGAGATGCTGGGGGTAGCCAATTTTTGTTCTATTTATTGTTGTAACCTAAGTAGGAGAAGTCTAGGTAACCTCTGTACTTTATTTCAAGTGGACAGAATAATAAATCCTGCTGCAACAAATGGTTTGTTTCAAGCCGCCTGTTATTTTATCATCACATTCTGCACAAGCGTGATGGATAAGCTACGGATCCTAGTTGTTTGCACGAGTGGATAACATGCCAAAGCAAACACGTGCAGTACTTAAAAAAGAAAAAAGAAAAGAAAGTGAAAAATGCGGTGAGAGGCAGGCAACATAATTCTGCAGCAGATCCCGGATCGGTGGGTTCACACTGAGGTGAGACAGGCAAGATGTAGAACAAATAAAAACACCCCTGAAAAGTCTTCAGCTAAATAAATTATGTGCAAGGACTTGTAAGCTTGCACTTCATGAAGTGGTGAAAGCTCAGAGTTCCTCCCTGGCCTGTCTGGAGCGACGTGGCCTGGAGCCAGAGTCTTTAATTCCTCTGTCAAACAGCACCTCATGCATCTCTATAGCTGTTACTGTAACTGAAAGTCTCATCATGTGTGCTCATCACTGGATTTTCACCACCAATTTGGATCTGTAGGATGGCATCAAAAGAGCTTAAAAAATTATAAAAAGCTTTGTTCTGCTGAAAGAAAGAAAGAAAGAAAGAAAGAAAGAAAGAAAGAAAGAAAGAAAGAAAGAAAGAAAGAAAGAAAGAAAGAAACGATGTCATTACAAAAGGGGAAAAGCAGAATTTCTCCCAAAGCCACTCTTGTGTAGCAGGTCCTTGCAATTCTGAGCAGCCTCTAATTAGGGTAGTATTCAGGGGTGGCATTAGTTCCCAAACTTTTTAATGGGGTGGAAAGCGGAGCTCCTTTTAGAGAGAGTGGATAAGTGTAGCCACTGTGCCATACACTGAATAGCAGATGGAGAGATTCTGCACCTCCTGGGAGGTATTCACTTTTTTTTTTTTACATTGCTCCTTAAACTCCCCACTTTTCCAACCAATCTTATTTAAAAAAAAATTTTTTTTGTATTTTACTTAGTTTTTCTTATACACATCTGTCTTCACATCTGCAGATACCACAAGCTTCAGGCAAGTTGTTCTTAGAATTTCGAAAACATAATTTAACGATCAAGAGTCGAAATTGAGTTTCACACTTTCACATTTACTGTGATGTTGATCACAAAGTGTGTCCTTTTTCACATTTTCTAATAAATGGTTTCTTCATTTTCCTTCATTTATATCAGATGCTAAATAAAAATCTAATGAAATCTTGTAAATACTTAATTTAATATCTGAAAAACTTAAAAAAATGTTTTATGTGCTTTTAATTCAGAATCTTTAATGATTCTTTTAATCAGCATATTTTCCTTATTTCTTTCTTTCTTTTTTGGCATTTAACATAAATAGAAACTGGTAGAAGACAGTCTTTCTAATATATTGTCTTATAAGGGTTAACAACGTCTTTTTTTAACGTTTTTTTTTTAAACATAATTACAAAATAGTGATAGAGGTGATTTTTACCATATGGAAACACACACATACACGCGTTAACAACGTTCTTTCCCTCATTGACGACAAAAGACTTCTGGCAAGGCTTCACGCAGATGGGATATAAATAATTTCACATTTTACAAATTAAAACATGAAAAACATGAAAAACATGACTCTATATACATACATATATATATATATGTACATATAGTTTGAACTTATTTTTTTATTTTTTGATATAAACTTTGTTATTATTTTTAATCAAAGGACAAAATGCTTCTTACATTCCGTTTAGATAATTAATAATAATTAATAAAGGCCTCTTGAATATTATCAAACGCTTATATTTTTCTCTTTCCAACAGTTCTGTCGTGTCTGTTTTATTTTGTACGGTTGCAAAACACATTTTATCCCAATACAATTGACAAATCCATTCGATATGACCTTTCAGAGTAGCTGTGCTGCACTCTCTTGTTTGTTTGTGTGTGTGTGTGTGTGTGTGTGTGTGTGTGTGTGTGTGTGTGTGTGTGTGTGTGTGTGTGTGTGTGTGTGCTTAAATGATGACTAAATGTCGAGGTTAAGAGTGAGCGAAAAAACTTATTGGTCATCTTAAACAGAAGTCGTTAAGTGTCCTTACTTTCTTTGAATTATAGATTATTAGCACTGCGCTGAATGGCTTTTACGCATGTTCCCAAAGTTTTAGTGTCTTTTATGGGCTGAGTGTTTTTGCTTTATCCCCTCTCCTCATGACCTGTGACCCCCAAGTATCGGCTGCTAAACTGAGCTTCAGTCATGCTCACGGAGGCTGATGACCACATGATCCGTGACATTTCGTGAAAAGACCCTTCTTTAACACAACTGCAGGACTGTGTGCTGCTGTTGCAGATCATCGCAAAACATTCATTGAGATCATTTCTGAGTTCGGCTACTTGATCCACAAAATAAGCTTTACAAAACGTTTCTCTCTCTCTCTCTCTTAAGCGATTCAACTATTCTTTTTCTCCCGAAGAGTATCACTGTCAATTACTTTTATTTTTTATTTTTTTATTTTACATAGACAGCAAACTTTCTGACCAGTCTGTTACGCTTTCTTTTATATATTATTTGGCATTTTTATTATTATGGCGGCACTGGAGCCAAAGTAGTGAGTTAGCAATAGAAGTTGCTAGTGTTTTAAAAAAATAATCATTATTCTACTTAACATCGTAAAATTTAATTTTCAATTTAACGCGTAGATATTAATTTTTCATGAACTACCTTAACCAGGAAAATCAGTGCACACTTTACTATTAGATAAATAGATATATTACCATCTGGCGTCTTTATGTAGCAGCTTCTCTTGAGATGCACTGTATTTTTGACATAACTGGCAAAATTATACTCATGTATATATTACCATATATATACGTGTATATCTGTAATATTATCGTAATTAAAACAGTGTCATTTTTCAAGTAGAGTGCCCTGAATACAAGGATAAATTCTTCCTATGAATGCAATTTCTAAATTATAACGGAGCCCTGTTGCATAGTTTGCATTCACTCTTAGTCTCTAAAAGAAGAACTCTTAACGTTAATCGGCAGAGCAAATGTGCAGAGAAACTATGTTAAAAAAGAACAGCAGCTTAACTGTAGTGAGTTTAGTATTATTCAAATAAAGTCCTGTAGAATAGAGATGTCTAATGTCAAACACGGCGTGCAGACCCACGAGAAGGAAACTCAAACACACATTTGATGTAAAAATCTGCTTTGAATACCCGGATATTATATATATATATATTACAGGCCGTATAGACAGATGCTATTTAAACCCTGTAGGCTAGGCCTTAATTACAAGCCACTGCTCAGCAGACACAATCTCGAGTACATGCGTTATTATAATGTTTTACATCACGTTCATCTCTTCATTTTCGCTGTTTAACCTCCTGTATTTGTAAACAAGCCCACACAGTACAATTGACCTCCTTCCCTGTTATAGTCACTCTCTCTCTCCAGAGTGTAAGCGCGTGCGTGTACCTTTTTCTCTCATTGCGTGTTACATCATCACGCAATAGCTGTTCTCTCGTGGCCTAGTGAACTGGCTCTAAGCGCTGCACCAATTTAGTCATTCTACTACACACACGCACACACACGTTGCTTTGAATAAAGGGAGGCAAACGCACTTACAGTCACGGAAGCAGCAGGGCTGTACAGTACAGGCAACATTATGAAAGCTTATAAAAATTTTAAAAAGCACAGCTCCGACAGACACAGCATCACGACAGCGCAGGTGCTTGGGAAGGCTTTTTCTTCTTTTCTTTCAAGTGTCAAATTAAATTACCTGTGTATTTAAAAACAACACAGTCTGCTTGGATCCATGTGTTAGTGGGTTCTTGCGTGTGGGGCAAATAAAGTTGCATTAAGACTGTCAAACACTGAAAACGGTGAGTGGATTAAAGGTGATTCTAACCTCCGAAACATCGTGAGCGCTGTTGACTTCAGGAGCAACATTTCATTTTTCTCTCGGGTCTAATACGAGCAGATAATGAAATTCTGGATGAGTAGTGTTTGCTCAAGAGCCCAGGCCGCCTGTCGACACCAGCACCGGGATAATCGCTGAGCTGAAGCAGGCAGAAATACAGCCCCTGTCTCACCCCTCCGACACACTCCTGTCCGCTCACTGTAATTACGAGGATGAGTGTGAAAGAGGTCAGATGGACACGCAGGCCCTGTGTGCGCATGTTCCAAAGGGCACAGCAATGACTTTAGAGTGCAGTCAGATTTAATGCATTTGTAAATATTATCTGACTGGCACGCACATGTTTGTGTGTTTGTGTGTGTTATAAAGAGTTGTGTGTGTTTCTTAAAGCCATTCAGTGGTTACTATATTTGGATCATACAGTTATAGTTAACACATCCGCAGTGTAAAGACACAACAACATCAGCAACACGTCTGTTTCAACAGTAACCGCCAAGAAAGCTCAACATCAATTCATAAATTTATTTCCAAACAAATTGCTTTTTTTCTTCTTTTTTTGCAAAACGAAATTTATTCTTGTTGGAAAAAAACAAAACAATAAACTGTGTAAAAATATCACACTTGAATTACACAATACTTGCCAAAAATGTACAAGGTTTAATTACTGAAATAAACACTGCATATTATTATAAATGTATGACTTTGCTCTGCGTTTATCTTTAATACAAACATCAAATCAAAACCTTCAAAAAAGGTCGCTTTGATTGGCTGATAGAAAACATTGATGTGTTTGACACAAATACATTATAAGCCTGTTTCAGACACGTGATCGTTTGTAACCTGTCCGTTATCCTGAGACGCCTTTATACAGTGACTGAAAACGAATCACTTCATGGTAGGGAATTTAAAAAAAAAGGCTGGAAAGTTAAATTCGTGGTCGAAAGTCTGATTCACACCGAAATAAACAAACAAAAATAATGAACATAAATATATCTTCATGAACAGCATGAATATATAGGCACAAATAGTGTTCTGCATGTCCATCATTCAGCTGCGTGCTAGCAAAACAAACATACAAAAATAATCCTACCTTCAAAGAGGGGCGTTTTTGTTTAGGTTGCTGTCTCTTTTTTTAAGTGTCTTGAAAAGTTTGGAGTTAAGACATTTAACAGGCGCTAGTGCCGCTGACAACTCTGCTCGGAAAGTTTTCAACCGGATGTAAAACAGCTCCAGGATGTATGGTCTGCGGCTGGCTGGTCACTGCAGGCCCCAGAGAGGACGGTAAGACTGGGACAATGACAGGAGAAGTCCTGGAGGGGCTAAGAGACCCTCCGATGATGCTCTCTATGGAGAAGGGGGACCGCTGCACCGGGGAGCTCGATTTCTGGACCGGTGATGCTGCCTGCACGCCGGCTGAGCCCAGACTGGAGCTGAGCTGGGGATAAAATCTACTTCTGGTTAAGTCCGTGGTAGTGCTGGTGGGCATTAGGGACGGTGCAGGGATAATGGTCCCCGAGTGTGAGTGTGAATGCCTCGGGTGCTGCTGCTGTTGCTGCTGCTGCTGGAAAGCAAAAAGCGCAGAGTGTGCGTGGTAGGACTGGAGCTGGATGCCGTATCCCCCGCAGCCGTACGGTCCGTAGCCATAGGCAGCGGCCGCGGGCAGAAAAGTGTTGTGCTCGCGCAGCAGGTCTTGAGTCTGCTGCCGCTTGAAGCGTTTCCTCCGCCTCAGAAAGCTTCCGTTGTCAAACATATCAGCCGACTCCGGGTCCAAAGTCCAGTAGTTGCCTTTCCCTGGGTTCCCGGGCTCCCTCGGTATCTTAACGAAGCAGTCATTGAGGGATAGGTTGTGCCTGATGGAGTTCTGCCAGGCCGGGAACTTCTCCCTGTAGTACGGGAAGCGGTTGCTGATGAAGTCGCAGATCTCGCTGAGAGTGAGCCTCTTTTTGGGACTCTGAAGAATGGCCATGGTGATTAAGGCGATGTAGGAGTAAGGTGGCTTCACCAGGGTGTTCTTGCCCGCCGGCTTGTAGGTATCCCTTGAAGAGGTGGAGCTGTCCAGGCACGGAGGTGGAGAGCCGGCCAGGAGGATACCGTCGTGCATCTGCGCTACTTCATCCACGTAGGAGCGCGTCTGGCTGTCTCCATCCTCGCCTTCTCCGACCACGTCTATGTCGGTCTCTTCCGAAAGGATGGAGGCATCCGACATCTCTGAGCTTAGAGTCATGGCTCACGCACGGCCGTGCCCCTCCGACGCCAGATGAGGAAGACCGTGAGATGCACAAGCTGTCCCTTTCCTCCCTCTTCAGCAACTCGTATGAGGAGGGGGAGAGGAGAGGAGCACGCTTCGCCACCGGTGAGAATTGTCCCTCCGTTTTGTCGCTATTTCCATATGTTTACAGGCTGTTTCCTTTCCCCCCCCAAAAAAATCAACAACTATGAGGAGCGACCCCCGTCGATGGCAGGCTGAGAAACTGTGCTGTGAAACCCGCAAAAGGGCCAAACCTGAATCAAACAAGGGGCGGACCTTCTCGCGGTATTTATACTACTGCTCTGATCACATGGCGGGGAAACGTCACCACGGCGAATGAAAAGAGAGGAACAAATTCAATCACAAAAAAGGGACTGAAAATGAGCTATGAGTGTTTTTATGGAAAAAAAAAGTTTGGTGTGGCCTGCATCCTTTTTAGTGGCCATTCACGGTGGCCTACACTCCACACATAACTAATCTAAAGCTTTTATTCCACGCAATGTTTTCAACATTTTTAAAAAAAAAATCTTTAGAAAAGTCTAATCGGCGGTGTGGTCGTTGAAGGATCCGAGAGGATATTTTGACAAGCTTTTTTTTTCTTTGTTGAACTTTGTTAGTTACCGAATGACATAAAAATTAATGGAGGCAACATCTGGATTTTTAATTTCCAAACAAACTAGGCAGCGATGTATATATAAAATCATAAAGGCGTGAAATACACGCCCCCCACCCACGATATTTACATTTCTTATCAGACAGCCTTTGTCAGAGTCTGCTGCACCATACTCAGGCAGCTCGGTTTGCGTGATCCGGTAGTTATCTAGATTATCCGCGAGCCATTTGCAATGGAAAAGAGTCAGCTGTTAACTCGAATCAGTCACGGGTCACGCATGCAAGGCACAGAAAGAAGGCCGTGCCGTGCGTCTGGAGCACGTTGCACTGTGTGTGTACGTGTATCTGTGCCTGTGTTTGGACATTATTTGAAATTTTCAACATTTTCACTGAATTACGGAAATTAGGTGTTTTTTTTTTATCAAAATTTGTTTTAATGTATTTATTTTTTATACTGTGTTTATTAGATCAAAATTATCAATTTTTGATCAATTACCTGCGTTTTAGGAAGCAGTATAAACACGTGATAAAAATGGTGTCAATAAAGTTAAAATTTTCAGAAGCTGCAGAATTTGTGTAAGCCAATTAAAACCCACAGTAATATATATTATACTTCCAACCTAATTGTTCTCCTTGCAGATACAGTTTGACTCTACCAGCATATAGTTTAGTTTATATTATTTGTTTCTTACTTCGGGGGAGCTGCAGTAAACCAAGTCAAGATGAATATGTCTGGGTTATTAAAATATGAATATCGAAGGACTGTGTTTTACGTGCCGCCCGACTTTACCGCCATATGTGACAGTTTACAAGTTGTCACCCTGCCACACTTACCCATTTTTATAGGAAACAACAGCAGACGTGACAAATAACTAAAAACAAAGCACGCACATTTAACAAAACAGCCTTTTAAATTATTTAGTTAATTTAATTTGCTTTTTAAATATTTTTCTAAATTAAAAAAAGGAAGTCATCACTCAGGTTTTAATAAAGGCAGCTGACTTTTAAATGCAATTTCCACTTGGGGTATAAACGTGTGCTTCATTAAGTCTGACAGATGCTTAGGTCCTGTGTAGGACCTCTCCAACCTTTTAGACGTTCCCATTTGTCTAACGCCATCTAGTGGTTAACTTGTTTCACAATTAACAAAACACTACCGGTCTACCTCCTCCAAGGATTCAAGCTCCTCTAACTGTGCAGACAGACAGAAATATGGCGTGTGGCATTTTTTAAATATGGGAAACAACATTTTTGAACAGTTTAGCATCCTCGCATAAAGCTTTAGGTTCCAACCAGCCCGTTTAGATTATTCATTATTTATAATGATTTACTGTCATGGATGGATCAAACTGTATTTCTGATATCTCTGCTTACGCCAGTGATCGTGGTCCTGCTTACCACTTTTGTCACTTTCCTCTTTGAAATGATGTGTACTGTTATTGTACCAACAGATAAAGTTCGCTATGATTAAATGAACTTTTTAAAATTAGAGATTTCAAATAAATTCATCTGTGCTATTTATCGGTGCAAAATAGGCCTATGAGAGGGATTACTGCAACAGCTAAGACTGATGCTTCTAAAACGATTATAGGTTTTAAATGTATGCCCAGTTTACCTACATTAATAACCAATTATCGGTCTGTAACGATCATATTTCTGTTCTCATCAAGAATGATAAGGTAACACTCGAAACATCCAATCTTTCGTATAAGAGAATTCAAAACAAACAAGCAAACACAATCAGTTTCAATGAACTGAAGAGGAATTTGTGTTCATTAAATAATTACATTTTACTCTTTGCATTTTAGTCTTTCATAGCTTATCCCCCAGTTTTGAAACCATATGCGCAGAAGATGAGGACTCACGAGTCACCGACATTTGGAAATCCTGAAACTTGACATCAGATGTGACGTTTTATTAGCAAAGTTCCTGGACTCCTTTGACGCTACGAGTTGTTAATTTGTGTGATGAGTTAATGAGTCCTCTTTTTTCTGTAATGTACTCGGAATGTAAGTGACCCAACAGAGTCAAGACGGAAGAGTGGATTCATTAATGGTCGTATCCAACCATCCACTATCATTAAATATTAATAATAAATAAACAAAGAAACAAAGAAACAAAGAAACAAACAAACAAATAAATAAATAAATAAATAAATAAATAAATAAATAATAATAATAATAATAATAATTATTATTATTATTATTATTATTATTATTATTATTATTATTATTATTATTATTATAAAATGCATAGGTGGTAAAGCACCTCTAAAGTGTCTTTAAGTTCAACCAAGAAAGCACTTTCAGTAGCTGTTTCAAGGCAACCCTGCCTGCCTTGATCTTGCTCTGATTAAAACTCCTAATGTCACCAAAACGCTCCGTCTGAGTGGAGCATGTGATTAATGTGTATCACATGCAGAAAAGGGCAATGATGTGTTTCCCGGAATGTATGTCTAAGAGCCGTCATAGACAAATAATTAATAAGCTAAAAAAATAAAAATAAAAACACTCAATAAATTGAATTCAAGAGAGAGTTTTTTTGCCCTGATAGGACACCTGATAGAATACTTAGTCGAGTCCATTTGTCATATTTTAAGATTAACTGCGGACATTTTATGCTGATGTTTTTGGTTTTGCGCACACTTTCCGTGCAGTCCTGACACAAAATCGTTCGACTTTCCCTCCTGATCAGTCATCAAACCAAATGTGTCGACTTAGTGAAAATTAGTCGACTAAGTGCCTTCATTTGTAAGACTTAGAGGGAAAATATCGATCTCAACGTCTGAGGCTTTGGAAGCGTTACAGTGCGTATGTCCTGATGCATGCCCAATCATCCAGGTAAGGAAATCTCAAAAAGTTGATTCTGTTCATCTGGACGTAGTTGTCAGTGGGAGAAACCTTCAATCACTCATCCAAGTGATTTCTTCAGTCTCGGGAAGTTCGCATAATTTCCCAAGTTTGTGGGTTTTTTCTCTCGCTCTTTCTGTCCCTCTCGGGTCCTGGGACCACTTCAGCGCGACTCTTGTTACAAAATCACGCTTTTTACTTTATATGGTTACACGAGGACAAATGACCAGATGTAGACTCATCTGAAGAATACATGATAAACGTCAGTGGTATATGATCACTACACAGTGATCGGTGTAGTAGATATACAAATATACAAAACAAAACAAGGTGCGAAGTATTATAATAATAATAACGATAATTGGCTTAAAACAGGTGTATAATGTAATTTGTTCATTCTTTGTTTTCGCAGAATATGTTTAGATGAATATGGACACATTCCCCTGTGGCACACTATATGTAACTTTAACTGATTGGTTTGAGTGTTTGCTATTTGTAATAACAGAAAGCATAAATATATTCAAAGAGAAACCCCCAAATTAAGACCAAACAAAAAAGACATAAAACTGAGCTGAAACTAGAACAAAATACAAAGAACAAATATTAATGAATACCATAAGCATGAAACAATAACAGAAACAAATAAATATTTCCTTGCAATTGACTTGACTTGCTTTGACTTACTGTTCTTTTTTGAAAGCAAGAGTAACTAGCTTTGGCACACAATCTAAGCACCATTAATAGAATGCGATGCAGACATTTGTGAATATGAATGAATACCATGCACATGAAGCAATAACAGAAATGACAAGCAAGACAAGTAAAGGATGACAGACATCGAGAAGACTGAAAGAGACAACATCACATGAAAAACATATAAGAAAGTCGTTGGGAATGGGATTTTGGAAGGGATTTTAATAAAGTCACCGATTCTGTGAGCCTTGTCTTATTGGGCAGAGCTAAGGGTTCATGTTGGCAAAAACAGGACTTAGATTTACGCTTCACAGTTGGACTGTGAAAGGGGGTCAACATTTTGGCTATGAAGCTTGGAGACTCATTCAAATGTGCTTTAAAAGTGCTCAGTAAACTCTTAAGTGTTTTTATTAAAATAAATTGAGTTAAGAAATATTTGTGCCATCCAACAGCTTACATCAGCGAGCCCTTTTTCACTCACCTGCTGTCATCTGTACAGCAATAAAAAAGATGTTGTGACTTTGTCTAATTTGCCCAGTGGAAACATATACATAGAGGGGGACCTAGAAATGAACTTTGTGGGACACCATAGGTAAGCTGCTGCTGGTGAATAGTTATCCTAAGGTGAGCCAGCAGTTTGTTTCTATAAACCAACTAACTCCAGTATCCTCAATGCCAACCTGGTATTCAGAATGACTTATCTACCATGTCAAAGGCTGCATTTATGCCTTAAAGAATCAAAATTACACCCTTTTCCCTATCATCTGCTAAAAGGACATCAGTGGTTAACCTGAGGACTAAATAGTTTGAATAGTTTCTGTGTTCTAAAGCCTGACTGATATATCACATATTCTATTATAATACATTAAAGTGAATATGAGCTGGATAGGATACACCACTTTTCCAAAATTTTTGCAACATTAAAAAACTAAACTTAAATAATTAAGAATAGATCTATTGAGGCTTGGTTTCTTTTATGAACATCAGCCACTTTGAGGAATTTCACCTTCGAGGTTGTAGCTAATCCCAAACCAATTATAATCTTGTGGCTCTAAGTAGGATTTGGATATAATCCCTCATCTTTTTCGGTTCATTACAAAGACCTGAAAACAGAAAATAACCTAATTATAAGACATACTTCAGCAAGCAATCAGCTCACTTTACAGGCTATCCCATTTCACATTGTTCAGGGTTGGGGTGCAGTGGTTAGCACTGTCACCTCAAAGCAAGAAGGTGCTGGGTTTGAACTGCCTGGTTAGCTGGGGACTTTCCTTGTGCTGTTTGCATATTCTGCTTCTGCCTTTGTGTATCATCGCACAATTAAAAGACATCCTTGGAGTGCTTGGTAAATAAATTGGTGATTTAAGCTGACTGTCGGTTTAGATTTAAGAGTGTAATAATCTGTCTATCTCTATAAATCAGCAATCAGTCCCGATTACTTTCACACAGTTAGCTGAGTTGGGATGGCATGCTTGTTACCTGATAGTGTTAGTCTAATCGGACTATTCATTTGTTTTAAGCATTGCCACATTGTGGTCATGTTTAAAAATGTATCTATTAGTACAAACCCCTTTGAGATATCTCATTTTCATGGCAATCCAAGCACATACAGTTGTTCAACTACCATAGCAACTACTTAAGAGATGACAGAATAAATAATAAACTTTCATTCATTAGTAATCTAGCATAGAGACAGACATCAGGAAATCCATAACAAAAGCTAGCCAAAGTTTCCAACAATAAATAAACAGTATGGTGTGATGATCACCAAATATAATTGCATATAATCCGCAGGTATAAAAATAAGATATAAGCAGAAAGAGCAAGCAAAACTGACATCTGTGTTGATAGAAGGAGCTCTCAATCTTTCTCAAATTAGATTCATTCTTAAACATGCAGATAATGAAACAAAGTTTTCATGGGACTCTGTGAAAAAGAGTCCCATAAAAGCACACCCTATTATTCAGTAGCTTGTAGAACCACCTTTAGCAGCAATAACGTGAAGTAATTGCTTTCTGAATGACTCTCAGTCTTTCAAATCATTGTGAAGGAATTTTGCCCCCCTCTCCATTACAGCGTTGCTTCAGTTCATTGAAGTTTGCAGGCATTCATTTATGCACAGCTCTCTTAAGGTTCCTCCTACAAGCATTTCAATTGGGTTAGGGTTTGGACTTCGGCTCAAGCATAGCAACACCTTAATTCTTTTCT